GTATTTGAATCATTCAAAGACGATGGTGTTTTCAGGCTTAGGGCAGGACTATTACACACAAATATAACGATAATAATCATGATTGTCTTAATACATTAATTACTGATTGCATAATTTTTTGATAAGTGAAAAATGAAAAACAAATTTTATTTATTTATTTATTTATTTATTTATTTATTTATTACATTGAAAATGATTTTCTAATGATTTTTTTTTACATACTTTTTCTTCAAGGTATTTTTTTTTATTACATCAATTCTTTCAAGCCATTTTGGTTCAGGAGATTTAACCTTCTGTACTCATCAATAACATGTCTATCTACCTTTATGCAATCAAAATCAAAAGATAATATATCCAGAGAATCCCACGAAGGTGCCCTACTCATCGCCACATAGATCTGTCCCGTGGCAAACATATTTTCATCAATGGATACAGTTGAGTGTGGCAGTGTAAGGCCTTGCGTCTTGTGAACAGTTAGTGCGAACGCATTCTGAATTGGAAATTGCTTCCTGGATGCTGGTATTCCATTGATAGTAAAGTATGTGATTTCTTTTTGAACATTTATCTTTACAATATTGTTAGCCATGGGGAAAGCGACCTCGACATTATCATTATCAACTACCTTGGTGATTACTCCTATTGTCCCATTACATATTCCATGTTCAAACAATTTATTATTTAGGAACATTACGCGAGCACCCTCCTGCAATGTGATAGCCTTTGGAAGATTGGTATGGTGCTTAAAATTCAACCGATCATCACTATTGTCAAACACTTCATGGTTAAAGGCATCCACAGACAAAGATATGATAGTATCAGAGCATTCACCATCAAATGGTAAGTTGCTGCAGATGAGAGAATTGATATCATCAGCTGTTTGTCGAAGCCCAACAACATGCGTTGTACTTAAAATGGCATTTAGATTTTGGGAATTGGAAAGTTTTTCATTTATCATCAACTTTGATTTCTCACTAAGGATTCCAAATCTTAACTCTTCTAACAAATTGTAGAAACTCAAGTCATCTTTCTGTCGTTTTGGTTGACGCAGGAAAACAGGGAAGAACAAATTCCAAGCTGGTGAGAAAAAAACTTGCTGAGCATTGACTGGAGGAAGCTGGGCAAGATCACCAACCACCAGGACTGGGACACCTCCAAATACCTTGTGGTTCTTGTGCAGAGAACCAAACATGTTGCTCAAGAATGTGAAAAGTGTACCTGACACCATGGAGATTTCCTCAACTATGATGGCTTTAATTTCTAAAAGTTCCTCTCTTGATTTTTCACTCTCTAATGACAATGTTTGGTGATGTCCATCAAATTGTCTCAATTTTAGGGCTGAATGGATTGTCCTACCTCCTATATTCTGAGCTGCAACACCAGTAGGAGCCACTAACAAATATTTGATTCTTTTCGACTGGAGCATATTTACAACATGATGTGTCATGAAGGTCTTTCCTGTGCCAGCTGAACCTGTCATAAAGAAGTAGGGATGCTTGTTATCATGTTCAGGACCCCATGAATTACATAAGATGTCATAGACTCTGTATTGTTCATTGTCAAACATCAAGATCGATGTCAACTTTGATGATGATGGCTTCTCCAATGACATGAGCTGCTGGTAAATAATATCCCAGAGATCATCTTTATCTAAATCTGCTAAAACTGAAACAATTGCCTTTCCAAATGCTTCAGAAAATTAATTCTTACTTATCAGTGAACTGTGAGCCAGCCTGGTCAAAGCTTGCTGGTACCTCATTGGATACATGTTCTGGAACCTCTCCCTGAAACTTGAAAACTCCCCAAGTAGCTCACTTTGAGAACGTGCTGGAATTTTCATTATGAGGTATTGGAAAAAAAAAGGTTCACCATCATCAATTTTGTAACTCATGAACCTGAGCAGCAGAGGTTTTGTTCGCTTGACAACAAACCTGCCTTTAAGGTCTCTTGTTGAGTATAGCTTTGATCTTGGGCCTGGGGGCTTGTTTTTAATGTTATAATCTCTAAAATAATCTGGGTAGGTCATGCTTTCAAAAATGTGATTTTTTGGCCTGCAAAAATACTTATCAATCGCATCATCGAAGTAAGGACTATCTCCATCATTCTCATTATCCTCATCCTCATTCTCATCATTATCTTGTTCAATTTGCACATATACAGGTTTAACCGATCGAATCCTCAATTCAGAAGGTGCGGATGGGAGGTATTGAACCGCCACTGAACACCTTGTTATTGGATACTGCAACAGTAATATCATCAGTTCCATCGATCCCAACCTCCTAGCTTGCACATGTTTTATGTATGAATCTTGCTCACTGATGTTGAAGATCTCATTAGGTTCAGGTTTTGTGGCATATTTGGTAACATATTTCCCAAAGCCAAATGTTGTTATGTATTGAAAGTTGATGTGTCCCTGCCATATCAACAACGTTTCAGGATGGTAAGGGACAACCCAACGATCTTCATCTTTGGTTCTTCGATAAATGTATCTTTTGGAATTTTGTTCGCAATATGTGAAATTGGAGAGGGGCTGAGGGAATCCTTTTTTGCATGGATTTGCATTTGTTCCTGGGTCACCACACTTTTCTCCAACACACCTGTGTATCTGGTATGTGGTCACCAGCTGGAAAAGCTCAGGCTCAAGGAGGGGATCAGGTACATCTGCACGTATGGTATTTTTTGCTATCAGGTCTGGTATTTTTTTTTCTGTGTAAGCAAACCCATGAGTGTGAATGGACCCTCTATTTTGAAACTCGTCTCTCTCAAAAAAGTGCAACCACTCACCCCACTGTACAAGATTCGGATTTTTCCAAAGCTTATTACGCACATTTGTCAACCTGTTGTGATAATGTAAGTATGCATGCAATGGCCTGTTGGATGGCAGCGGATCATGATTATCAGTGAGCAGCAATATTTCTTGAAGATGTTTCCACTTGCCTTCAGACATTGTCATTGTGTAGAAAATCTGTGGCAGCCCATACCCTTGAACCATTGTGTTAACCTGATGTTTTTTTTTCCTGAAAAAGGCTTCAGAAGTTCTAATGGATGATGGCAAGGTTGTTGTCAAAGCTTCATTTATCATTGGTCGATTATCATATGTGCTTCTTGATATCAAGTCAGCTCTGGTTGGGTGTAACTCACGATTAACGTTCTTCTGGTTCAGGATCCTATTCTTGTTTTGATAGTTACGTTTTTTTTCAAGGTTGAGGTATGACCAGTGAGGCCAATACCAATGTAACCTAAACCTTGGATCAGGGCACAAGATTCGTAGCTTAATGTACTTGCCATAGCTGTCAATGTTGTGCCTAAATTCCAATAACCTTTTTACATCTTCATAGTGACCACGGCCAGCAGGAAAAATGTCAGGAAACACCAACGCTTCAATGTCAGGATTGTTATACTGTATTGGAAGTGTAACATCATCATTCGAAGTCACAAATCCTGCCATCAACCGCTGATACCTGTAGTCTTCTTCATGCACCTCAACAGGAAAGTCATTATTTGGGACAACTAAGGAAGGTGGTTGAGAGTTTGTCAGAATTGATGAGTGATGGTTCAATGATGAAGTATCATGAATAGGCTGAGTGGCTAGCCTTGCAATTGGTAGAGGTTCTGGGAAAGGGCTAGAGGGTGAAGGATGTGTCACAGCATGAGTTTGATTGTACTGTATGTATATTGGATTATTTTGCACCAGCCATTGACTTGCACCAATTAATGATTCATGAAACCAATTAGGTGGCTCATTTTGATTCAATATTGCACCAATCAAACCCGAGTGTAGTTCCAAAGCATGTCTGTTTTTTGACAACCCAATGAAGCCTTGTAGGTGACGATAGTGTGTGTAAGCATTAGAACCTGAAGCACGACCTAATGAGCAGCTCATATGAATGGGTGACAAATGTTTCCTGAACAACATTGGTACTGAATTGATCTCATCAGGTACTGGTGTCAAAGCTGGTGGGAACCTACGATTCTTCTCAGTTTTGCATGATGAGCAGACAGCAACCTTGACTTCACCATTATTGTTTGTTTTGAGTGATAATTTTTCATTGGGAAATGCTACTTTTAAAGTGTATTCTTCATCAGCATTATAATTGATCCACTTGATTGATGTGCTCGTCATCAGGATAGAACAATATGCACAAGGGGTTGAAGGATAATCATATAAAATCTTTTTATCAAACTCTTCCAGAAGCAGAATCAGATTTTTGGATGGACGCCATGGTTGGAATGTTGTTGAGTTATGAGAATAATAATGAGGTGAAGGAATGTTAGGCTGATTATTTGGTGGTGCATTTTGCAAATTTTGATTTATTTCATTGCGTTTCACATATGTTGAAAGGAAGGAAACGTCAACAGCACCCCCAGTGTGAACTTCCGATCCAGAAGAAGAGGAGATAAAGTCAGAGATTGTATAATTTTTGATTTTATAATTCATGATTTAATTAATTCGAATTAGAGTCAAACGTATAATAATATTAATATGATAATTATTTTTATTTCAAATTTTATTTATCACAAGGTTTTAAGGTTATTCAGAAAAAATGTATCTGTTAGATCAATCCAAATTAGAGTCAAACGTATAATAATACTAATATGATAATTATTTTTATAAATTTTATTTATCACAAGGTTTTAAGGTTATTCAGAAAAATGTATTTGTTAGATCAATCCAAAATACATTCATTTATATAACTTTTTTTTTTCTTTGAATAATCAAACAACCAACCAACCAACCAAGCAACCAATCAATCAATCAATCAATTCAAGTACTGTTTAATTTAAAAAAGGCAAGTATGGCAGTGTAAAATTTTTTTTAAATTATTAAAGCAAAGAAAATTGAAATCTTCTCGCGTAACGTCAATAGATTTACATGTAACGGGAAAATACTTTCGTTTCGCGAAACAATAAGGTTTCATTTTATAATGTTTAAATATTTGCCAATTACAATATCTGCAAAAATTTATTATTACAATGTGTACATAATAATAAAATCAAATAAATTAAGTCTCCTCATAAATAAAACCCTCTTCACTTTCAACCCCTCCTTCCCCTTCATCCAAATTCGCGTCCACAATCAAATCAGCGCGTTCTTTCCCTTTACTGCTTGTGGCGACTGCATTCATTGCATTTTGAAACATTGTAGTTCTTCTTGTTGATGGGTCTGAAGGACTTTCTTCATTGAGATCAAGATCTGTTTGGCTTACAGGTCTTTTGTTGGGCGATTCTTGGTGGTGATTTGCAGATCTTTTTTTATTACTAAAATACTTTTCTTCAAAGTCCAGGTACTTTGACTTTTGTGCCTTCCAGGAAGAAGGCCCACTTTGGTTTCCTTTATTGTTGGTGTTTTCTGAAACGGGGAAAAGCCATTCAATCTCTTTGCCAACAATTTGCACCATTCTTTTACCAACAAAAAGTTCTCCTGCTACAGTGAAAATAGCTTTCCCATTAGTGGCAGTTGTGACAGAGCTGTGGCGTCCATTGTTTGGGTTGTAAAAACATGGGACATCCATTGTGGTGTACGAGTTTGCAAATGGATTGTATATTTTTCGCGACAAAGTGAAAAAGCTTGCACCGTCTTGAACTCTAGATGGTGCTGTGCATTGAGCAGTGAAGGTGCCGAATAAAGGATTGATGGGTAAATCATAGATGCTTGGATCATCAGCAATCGTTTTCAGATCAAGAAGAACAGCTTGGATCAGGGTAACCTGAATCAAAAACAACATACATTATTATTCATTGCTGAATAAAGCCAAATGAACAATTTATTGCATATTAATATAACAAAAACTCACATATAGCTGTGAATCATGAATCACATATTTTCCAACAAACATCATAAAAGAATTTTTCTGTATATCTTGGATCATGATGTCTTCATTGGAATTAAAGGCCCTGAATGTAAAGTCCAAAAAATCATTATTGTCAAGTCTTGAAGTTGCCACACCATTCAAAACGTTAGATCCACTCACAGACTTTACAAATGCGATTGTAGATAAGATGGAAGACATAATTATTTAAGAGTTTTTATTTTTTATTTTTTTAGATGTGATTTAAATTGTATTGTGAGTATTGAATATTTTCTTTGCATCCAGTAGCTCATTCACTTAACTTTTTTATACATTTTTTTTCATCCAAGAACAAACATTGATTTTTCTTCACTAGCCAAATCGTAAAAATCAGCACAAGAAACATATGTTAATGTAGACATGACAATAAACGTGTCTGCATGTGAAAAAAAAAGAAAAACATAAGGTGTAAAAATAAACACGTAGTGCATAGGTACGTGTCCTTAACAATTTCGAACACGTCAATTGACAGCAAACAACAATCAATGATGGGCGTAGGAACACATGTGCAAAAAAAAAAGGAAAGACATATGGTGCAAAAATAAACACATACGTGTTCTTAACAATTTCGAACACGTCAATTGACAGCAACAACAATCAATGATGGGCGTAGGAACACATGTAGGAACACATGTTAACATTGCAGCATGGATGGCATGACAATAAATGCGTCCGCGTGTGAAAAAAAAAAGGAAAGACATATGGTGCAAAAATAAACACGTACGTGTTCTTAACAATTTCGAACACATCGATTGACAGCAAACAACAATCAATGATAAGTGTAGGAACACATGTAGGAACACATGTTAACATTGCAGCATGGATGACATGACAATAAACATATCCACATAGCATAAAAAAAAAGAAAGATGTATGGTGTAAAAATAAACACGTAGTTGCATACAATTTAGAACACATTGAATTTTCACCAATGATTTTGTAACAAACATGTTAATTGATCGGATAATGGTTCACAGCCATGATCTCATGCGCCTGAATCAAGAATCAATGGATAAACATAGATCTCAAATTGAGGTGCATTTGTTGGTTAGAACTTAAAATTGTTGAACTTTTCATTAAAATTAAAAAAACCAATGCAAAAATATGTTTTCTTGCCATAAAAAAAAAAAAAATAATACTCAGAAGGTCCAAAATCATGTTTTATTGTCAATTTTTACAACGATTAGTTTAAAAGTTGGTTGATAAGTAATTTCCGGCCAATTAAAATCATTAAAAAAATTTTTGTAATTTTGGTTTTTCTTGTCCGATGATTCTTGACGTTTTTGATGAGCGTACCAGTACACAAAAAAATAGGCAATAATAATAATAATAATAATTAGATACATGTGAAATTTCTGACATTCTAATACGTGTTAATTAACACAAAGAAGAAATTTTCTATTTGCTGTGTCACCATCTCCTTCTGAAATTCGCAAAGTTCATAATCTTCGTGC